ATTTTGGGGTTTAATTTTGAAAATTGGGTCAAAATCGAGCTTAATTTGCGAATTTAGACCAACCCGGGTCTGCCGAGTCGACCGGGTCAACCCGACCCGACCCGGGTCGGTCTCCTTCTTCGTCCGACTTGCCCAAGACTCAATAAACCCAGAAAAAACAGTTCAAACCCGCCACTTTGTCAATTAAAATCTCGATTTCCATCACGTGTTAAACAAGATGGACAGCTGGAGATTCTCCAGCTGTCCATCCTTATCATTCCTAACCGATTCTAAATTGGTTAGGAGTGATAAATCGACTCGAAAAAGAGGAATAAAAACAAGAAAAAACTGATCATTGTAGAGGGAAAGGTGTTCGACGAATTGCCAAAGAGAGAAAAGGGAGAGAAACAGAGAGAAAGAGCGTGGGGTTTAGAGAGGAGTGGGTAGAGGTTCCTAAGATCGAGCGATCGACGCTATTCCTACAGGAAAAGTGCCGGCAAATCGATCCTTGCAGTGAACCTCCTCACCGGGGGTGCCAAGGCGAGTTGACCGTGAAGCTCTGAAACCGAGCTCCGGTCGGCGAATCCAGACCTTTCCCGATGGAATTGAAGCCGTCAACTTGAATCCTGAGCATCAGAGAACAACTTCACGGGCGCCGATTAGTCCGGAAACTACGATTTGTACACATTCGAAGAAGGTAAAATCCTCTCCCAGTCACGGTTTTGTAGATTTGAGAAATAGTGAACTTGAGTTCAATCTCGCTGAACGTGTGTTCTCTTTCACAAATTTGAGTTCTTAGGTAGCGAATGATAACCATTCTGTTCCGGAATGAGTTCCTGAACCAGAAATAGATTTTTCTATTTCTGGTTCCTGGATGAGTTTCTGAGAAAAAAAATCCGTTTGATAATGACAAAAAATTTCTATTTCTAGAACAGAAACCCGTTTGATAACAGCACAAAATTTCTATTTCCTGAAATAAAAACCCGTTTGACAAACAACAGAAAATTCTATTTCCAGGAACAAAAATCCATTTTTTTAGAAATGGAATAAAAATAATAAAAAATCCGAAAAATTCATAAAAATCTTTAAAAAAATTCAGAAAATCCCAAAAAAATTGAAAAATTCCAGAAAAAATCATCAAAATGTCGAGAAAATAAAAAAATTTAGATTTCGGGAAAATAGGAAATTTGTTGAATTTTTTCAAAAAAATCAAGAAATCAAAAATTTCAAAACTTCATGAATTGCTTAGAATACCTGTGGCCACCCACTTTTAGTGAAATTTAAATTTTTTTAGGTGCCCAAAAAAAATCAAAAATTTCAAAACTTCACAGAATAGTTTAGAATACATGTGGCCACCCACTTTGAGTGAAATTTAAATTTTTTAAGGTGCCCAAAAAAATTCAAAAACTCAAAAATTTCAAAACTTTACAGAATGGCTTAGAATACCTGTGGCCACCCACTTTGAGTGAAATTTTAATTTTTGGAGGTGAAAAAAAAGCAAAAAATCAAAAATTTCAAAACTTCACAGAATGACTTAGAATACATGTGGCCATCCACTTTGAGTGAAATTTAAATTTTTTTAGGTGAAAAAAAACATAAAAAATCAAAAATTTCAAAACTTCACAGAATGACTTACAATACCTCTAGCCACCCACTTTGAGTAAAATTTAATTTTTTTTAGATGCCCAAATGGTATTTTTGATTTTTTTTTATTTTTTTTGGTTCCTAAAGAAAATTAAATTTCACTCAAAGTGGATGGCCACATGTATTCTAAGCCACTCTGTGAAGTTTTGAAAATTTTTCTTTTTTGCTTATTTTTATTTTTTTTTGACACCTAAAAAAAATTAAATTTCACTCAAAGTGGGTGGCCACAGGTATTCTAATTAATTATGTGAAGTTTTTTATTTTTTATTTTTTTATTTTTTTCGGCACCTAAAAAAATTTAAATTTCGCTTAAAGTGGATGGCCACAGGTATTCTAAGCCATTTTGTGAAGTTTTGAAATTTTTTCTTTTTTATTTTATTTTTTTCGACACCTAAAAAAATAAAATTTCGCTCAAAGTGGGTGGCCACAGGTATTTTAAGCCATTCTGTAAAGTTTTGAAATTTTTACTTTTTTGCTTATTTTTATTTTTTTTTGGCATATAAAAAATTTAAATTTCACTCAAAGTGGGTGGCCACAGGTATTTTAAGCATTCTGTAAAGTTTTGAAATTTTTACTTTTTTGCTTATTTTTATTTTTTTTGGCATATAAAAAAATTTAAATTTCACTCAAAGTGGATGGCCACAAGTATTCTAAGCCATTCTGTGAAGTTTTGAAATTTTTTCTTTTTTGCTTTTTTTTATTTTTTTCGGCAGCTAAAAAAATAAAATTTCGCTCAAATTGGGTGGCCACAGGTATTCTAAGATATTCTGTGAAGTTTTTAAATTTTAGAATTTTTTATTTTTTTTTGGCAACTAAAAAAATTAAATTTTGCTCAAAGTGGGTGGCCATAGATTTTCTAAGCCATTTTGTGAAATTTTGAAATTTTGAAATTTTTTATTTTTATTTATTTTTTTCGGTACCTAAAAAAATTTAAATTTCGCTGAAAGTGGGTAGCCACAGATTCTAAATCATTCTGTTAAGTTTTGAAATTTTTGATTTTTTGATTTTTTTTCTCACCTCAAAGATCGTGACTTCCATATGAATATGTGTGTTGAAGAAAATGAATTCCTCAGAAATGGTTCTCACTTTTGTTCCAGAAATGAAAAACCAACTTTTTTTTTGTTCTCATTTCTGGTTTCAGAATCAGTTTTGGAAGCAAACTTGTCCCGGAAATAGAAAAATGAAATTGCGTTACCAAACGGGTTCCTGGTCCAAAACTGATTCTGGGAACAAAAAACCAGTTTTGGACAGAACCAGAATGGTTTTCATGCAGCACCTTAGATGCCTAAAACGTGTTCTGATCTCATTTTCATCGTTTGTTTGCACTTTGAATGATTGAAAACGCATTAAAATCGAGTTGGCCATTTCTGGAAAATTTCGCCGGAGCTCCCGTGCCTCGCCGGAGAGTCGTCAAGGCCCTAGGCCATTCAAGTAGGCTTTCCTTTACCTTGTATAATGATTTGATGTTTGTTTTGAGCGATCTAGATGGCTAGGGCGATGTAGAATGATGATTTGAATTCTGGAATGCAAGTTTAGTTAAAAATGGTTTAGGCTTTTTCGGACTTGAATTTCACCTGCCGGTGGAGGTCCGGCGACGAATCTATAGGTTAGAGATGATAGTCAGTATAACGAAGTTGATACAAAATCTGAGAAAATGGCAAAAGGTCACCGGGACGTTCATCGTTGGTGAACTCGAACCGGCTGTCTTGAGAACAAAAATTCATAAATGTTGCACACCAGGTGCTCGGGGAAATGCCCCAAAGAAATCGAGTCAAAACGGTGCCCTTTTTGGGCACCGTAGGAGATGACCGGCACCGGTGCAATCTATCAATAATGACTAGTGGCGACTCCAAAATCGAAAACTTAGACTAAATAGAAATTATCATCCGCTGTCACGTGAGGTATGGTCTGGGAGAGACCCTTGCACGGAAATACTTTCTTAGCACGCAAATCCTGAAAGTCCCCAAAAAAGAAAAAAGAGAGCGCGGCGCGACAACGGTCAGATACGTTTTATTCTGTTTTTGACGAAACACCGATCGAGTTCCCTGATTCTTTTCCAGTACTCTCAAGTCTTTGAACCGATCTGACTGAAGCAATCGCATCTTATTGTTCTTGATCGCTAATTGTCCTTTTCGCTGATGCGGCAGGAGTAATAGAACACGGAAGTGCTTGATGAAACCTACTACGCCGCGCCGGTAACGTGCAGAAGAAATATAAATCGCAGATTGAGATGCTTGTAGCTGATGTGATACGTAAGGGGGACAAATTGAAACAATTAAAGATGGCCTCTTTCTATTAATGGCCTCTCTTTGTCCAATAAGTAGGTACGTGACTCGGTCAACAATAATACATGAGTCCATGCACGGTGGAAGAATCACTTGTTCAGGTCGGCCATCGTTGTTGTCTGGTATTGAATGGTGAAAGTGTAGTTTGGTCCAAGTGAAATGAACCATGTGCTTTATTTTATTTATGTATTCATTTCTTTGCTTTTTCTTTTCGCATTATTCCATCCTTATCTATTTCTTTTCCATATTTTAATTACCCAACTGGAGATTGTCATAATATTTGGTATACCGATATATAAATAGTATCTTTAGCATTTTTTTTGGGTCGAAATATCTTTATCTTTAGCCTTTTGGAATGATCATATTTATGAGCAATCTCTCGATGAATGGCATGAAACAAGAGAGGCAAAAATAAGGTAAAAAGTCACAAAAAACCTCAAATTATGTCCATCCGGATACATTTATCTTGAATATTTTTTTGTGACATAAAAAATCATAAACATTTACCCTAAATCTTTTTTTGTGACATAAAAAACTCTAAATTTGTACTTATATGATACATTTACTTTCCATTAAGGTTTCGTTAGATGATTTTCAACTAAAAACCACTTTGTTTTTATTTCATTTAAGCCACGTGACTTAAGTGAAATAGCATTTGCCTTTCGGCATCTATATATGTAGATTTTTAATAGTGCTCATTAATAGAACCTTGACCGTGTGTAAATTTGAGATTTTTTGTGTCCAACATTTAGGGTAAATGTGTTACAATGCCCGTAATTTAAGATTTTTTGTGACTTTTTCCCCAAAAATAATGACCTTAGTCAATAAATATTTAGCCTCCGACCGGTGAATGTGACTGGTCTCTCCATTTTTTGGCAACTACCCCCCGCGACTGCACAAATACTTTTGAGCAGGTGTTTTTAAGGATCCTAGAAAAGGAGATCCCCAACCCCTCAATAACTATCGATTTAATTAAAGAGTAAATCTCACCTGATGATCATAAAACCTTTAAAATTCTGCGTGCTATGATACTTCATACCGGAGTAACACAAAAAATAGCAGGAAATTACGACCCGAAAATCCGTCTCTCGGTAGAGCATAGAACCGAGATTAAATGAAATATTGAAACAATGTTGCTATATTCTTACAGCAAACAATTTCCCCACGGACTTTCATGAGCTATTTACAGGAGACGACAGGAGGTAACATGATTCTAAACACTAACTGTACTGACCAACGCAGACCATTAAGATCGTGGCACTTCTGCCGCGTCGTCGCTCAGCCAATTGGGAGCCAGGCAAATTGTTTTCACTGGATGCACCTCAACAATTGCTTGTCTCTCTGGCAAAACCTATAAAAATCCTAGGACTAACTCTAGTCTATAGCCCCACATGAGCATCAGTCCAAGACAGAGATTGTCTTGATTGATCACCATGCCAGTTGATCATGCAATTTCAATGGGAGCTATCAGGAATGGAATGCTTCAGGCCCCAATACAAGAAAACCCCGCTACCGTGTTTCTCTAATGGACTTGTTCAAAATGGCTTCTGCAAGTACATGGACGTGTCCTGAAGAGGCGAGAATTGATCCAACTGAAACTCTCCTTGCGCGAACGCATCGTCCAAGAAGTTATCCATTGAACCAAACTGGAAATCGAGGGCCTTCTCCCAATCATCCCACTTCGCCTCGCTCTGCACTTCCTTCTCACATGCCAAGTCCGGGGACACCACATGGTCCGAGCAGCTAGAATCCGTGTGCAGTTTCGGCATCGACTCCGACGAGTCCATGTACATGTTATCCATAGTCATTGATGAATGCCCATATTGGGGAGGTGTGTACTGGTTCAGCGCCGCCGGCATAACAATCTGCGGCTTGGTCTCCATTTCGGGGAACTCTACCGTTTTATTGTGCGAGGAGGGGAAATATTTCTCTATGGTGCCCTTCTTGTTGTATATCCGGCATAGAACCCAATCATCAAGCTGCAATAATAGCAAGGATCGATGTTAATCATTGAGTTTCGTTTATGTGCTTGTCCAATTTCATGTGCGGGAACACCAAAAACAGTGAAAAGAAGGGAAAGAGTGCAATTACCCTCGAGTTCTTCTTCTTGCCGGCGGATCGATCAACATTGGCAAGGCGATACTCGTGCATGATCCAATTGGTCTTCGCTCCTCTCGAAGCTTTCCCGGTGTAAAACACTAGTGCCTTTTTTATGCCGAGCGTCTTCGGGCGGCCAATCGGCTTATCAACCCCGGTCGCCTTCCAGTACCCAGTTCCAGCTGCCCGGTTCGGCCGTGACCCGTTAGGGTACTTGCGGTCTCTCGGAGAAAAGAAGTACCATTCTTTTTCGCCGTACAGAGCCATTTCTGCAATTCCAAGCCAAATTCCGTCAGAAATCATGACTCCCAGCAGACAATCAAATTCTTTCAAATTCGCACGAGATCTTGAAAAGTAAAAAATCACAGTCAAAACCATCATGCCCGATCCTTGACAACGTGAAAGCAAATGAAAAAGTCAACTACTTTTCTTGACCCACATGTCCAAATGAAAAGTTCAAACTGTCGAGCATTGGACCTCCCAGATAGCATCAGATAAGGATTTCAAACTGTCGAGCATTGGACCTCCCAGATAGCATCAGATAAGGACTAGAGAAATACATTTGGTATTACAGTGACAAACCCAAATAAAGAACGAAAGAGTGACAAAACTCGTCGACCCTTTTCCCAGAATGGGATGATTTACCAAAATGAACACAAGCAGAAACAGAAATTGTTCAGGAACAGAGCCTGAAGAAGCAGAGGAAGGGAGGTCGCGTCTCAAAGTACCTGGAAGGTCCCAAGGCTCGAACTTGTAGAGATCGATCTCAGCGATGATGGGGACGGAGATGGGGTGAGAAGCGCACTTGCGGATCAAGTAATGGTTCACCAGCTCGTCGTCCGTGGGGTGGAACCTGAAACCCGCTGGTAACTCCAACTGTGCCTTCTTCATCTTCTCTCTCTTCTTAACTCCGTTCGTCTTCTTCTGCGACTCTTTTGGTCCGTGCCCTTTTCTTCCAAGCTTTGAACTCCTTCTACTTCCGAACTCGAATCCACACAGAAACATGAGACGACCAGGGGTTTATATAGAGACACGAACTGTGCCGATTGGGGTAATTCACACACGTGAGGTGGACAGATCCCGCAGAACGACAGGTCGTCGTGTATCTGGATCGAAAACGTGGGGAGGAGGGCACAAAAGGGCAACAACCTGAAGCCGTCTTCAGCAAGTGGTGGTGAGCGCAGCCAAGACAGTCAATCAGAGGCCGACACGTGTGGGGGACTCTTGGGTTCTGTCATGGCGTCCGTCAGCTAATTTGTCTTTACTTGACGAACGGGTAGAGGGGAGTGGCAGTAACAGTGATTAGATGATCTCTTTGACCGTCGCTCCCCCTTGCCCTTTTGCCCCTTCATTGAGTCCAAACTATCGTGCCATGTTACCCCACAATAAAACCCAAAACAGATGTGTTATCCTATGGAACGGTCTTCATCTCGACTTTTCAAGCGACCATGTTTTAGTTTCTAAACCACGTCAATCTACATCTTAAGGCTCTCAGATTTAAGAAACTTTCTCATTCACAGGATCCATGGCATGACAAGTGGAGAGTGTATTGGAGAGATCCACTCATCTTATTAGACATATTTTGTATCCTCATATTATGTCCGTCCCAGTATATCCGGTCGCAAATTTCAAAAATCACATTTACTTTCATCAACTGTTGTTAGGCCTGTCAAATGAGTGAATCGAATTAGGTTTTGATCGGGTCGAAAATGGCCGACCCATATTGACCCACTTTTATGTAATGCAATTTTAGCAACCCAAACCGACCCAAACACGATCCGACCCATATTATTAAAACACATCCACATGCATACCAAAACATTTAACCTACTTTAAGCTCTTCATAATAATATCTTACTTGGATAGATTTTTTATCAAATTTTAAAAATAAATAAAATTTGTTAGTAAATAAAAGAAAAAAACATAAAAAAAACCTAAAGATTGAAATACACATAAAGAACAAGAAAATATGCATGTGTTGTGACAAAACACACAGGGAAATTACCAAAAAAAGTCCTAAAGCTATTGTGCTAATTTAATCCAAAACCTTTCAATGTTGTTTATTAAATCCTAAACCTATTGAAAGTTTGTCAATTTAGTCATTTTGACCAATTTTGACTGGAAATTGTTAACATGAATGTCAATCGTTCTACGTGGCACGGTCATCGTAAGATGGTCAACGCTGACGTGAATAATTTTTATAAGTTTTAAAAAAAATTCTAAATTTCTTTTATTTTTTTCTTTTCCTTTTTTTCTTCTAAACATGATGAGACCGGACCACGAAGTGAGGGTTGGAGCCCTCGCCTAGACCTAAAAAGGGCCGTGAAGCCGCCGGTAGCGGGCGAGGGTCATGGTCCTTGCCTAGTGACTGGGCCCTCACCTAGTGTTGACAAAGTCGGCCGGCTCTCGCCTGTGACCGGTGAGCTTGCCGAAATTTGTAGAAAAAATAAAATAAAATTAAAAATTAAAAAAATTGTCCTGACATCTCCAACTCCACTTAAAGCATTGTGAGCTTTACTTACTTTTAGAAGACAAGTGAAAAGGTTCTCTATTTTTCATATAGGCTTGAAATGGATTAGTCCTTAACCTATTTCAGACCCATTAAATTGTTAGGTATTTATTTTTTGGACCACTCAAGCCTGTTTTTAAAACTTAAGGCCACCCATTTACGACCCGCACCATTAAATTTGGGTTAAAATATGGGTTCTAGACCCATTTTACCACCACTTAACAAAACATATGTGGCTTAATATTTTAATTTCGTTTTTCGGCCAATCATCTCATTTGCATTGGGTCTTGCCAAATAGGCTATATGAGCATAGGTTATAGATCATTAAAGCATACGGGGGCTATATGAACAACCCCCACTAGATGGCAAAGAAGTCAAAGTATGTAGATATTCTAGTTTTCTCCTGTGAGTAAAACTGGGGATGGTTTGATAACTTTCGGCCGCTTTACTACGAAGGTCAAACAAGGCTGGAAGGTAGTGGGATTTTGATTATATTTGACAACGGTTGCACATTAAAATATCTAATCTATCAAGTATTTTTGGGGCTATGAAAGTATCAAATTACTCGTGCTATTAGGCAACATAAATGGCTATATGTCTGAGGTGAATGAATGCTAATATATTAGGACCACAAACAAACTAAAGCAAGAAAGACCGATCAATTCAAAGATAATAGTTGAATTAGATGAGATGGAACTCATGGAGTTCAATCGATAGTGAATTTGGGATTCAACATCTCTTATTATGATGTCAAGAAGAAATTAGTCGGTTCACCATCGATTTTGCAAATAAAAAGCAGAAAAAGGAATAAAGGCACTGTTTGTTTGGTACTAAGTAAAAGCAAAAATTTTGCTTTCTCGCCAAAATAAAAGATATATTACCCAAAATTCTAAAAATTACGAAAAAAAATCGTATGTGAATTTACATGTCAATATCTATATTTTGCGAAAGATTAAGTACTTTGAATTTATTTTAAAAAAGTAAAAATTCGTGGATCGTAAGATTTTGATTAAATAAAAACAAAAATAAAAGTGAATAAATACCGATGAATACATATTTTGTAAGCATATGCTTAGTCTATTTACTATTTAAGGATGACAACCGAGAGCAGCCGGTCTAGTCCTAAGTCAAAGCTGACAGATGAGGCGAAGCGAGGCAACAGTGTTTGCTTGGGCCTCACGTTTGTCTAATCAGATAAAATATCAAATGAGCTTTTTTTTATTTGAAAGATAAGATAACAGCCATGGAAGCTTCCGGTCTTGCTGGGAATGAAGTCGTTGTCTTGTCTTAGGTGACGTCTTGCATGACGTTGATGACCCATGCACGTCACGTGGACGCCCATTCGCCCCTGCAAGAGGAGAACCTCGTATTCGTGGATCGACTCTTTGAATCTCCTTTCCCATGGATGTTTCCGATACCTTTGGAGAAAATGTGGCATGACAAAATATTGCATGCCATAGCGATGTTATATATGACGTGCACTAGTTTATTTAGCGATGGACATGTGTTATCGTGGCCTTACTGTCGAAATTTTTTCAAACTCTTAACGAGCATTTATCTCCCTCTTCTTCACGTCCTCTTTCGCCCTCCCTTGTCCGAGGAAAGAGACGCGTTCTCCTCCGTCAAATTCGGGTCTGCAGCTCTCCTTAGTTCTCTCTCTCTCTCTCAAATCACATTCGGCTCTGCAGCTCTTCGTCCCTCTTGTCCGACTCCCGATTCGGCTCTGTAAGTCTCCATCCCTCCCACCTGACTCGCGACGAAGCCCTAAATCTACTCTCCCTCCTCCCCAGTCTCATGCGACGTCATAACGAGCTAGCAGAGAGCGACCGGCTAAGGAAGAAGATGAGAGTGAATTTTGTTCTGCTTTTGATTTAGAGATAGGCTAATTCTGTGGTGAATTTGTTCTGCCGTTAAAGGCATTAGCTTGATAATCTTGCATTTACAATGTGGCGAACTTGTTATGCTTGGAAAGGCCTTAGCATAACAAGTTCCATCGTTTACTGAATTACAATTTTCATCTCTAACTCTATTTCAGTCTCTTGTATATCAGTCCACTGGCTGAAATATAGCAAGACATATACACAAATGACATTATACCAACAAAGCAAAAACTCACTACAGGAGCAAAACTTGAGAAAGACAGTAAATAAATCCAACTTAGCTCATGAGGAACAGCTCTTCCAGAATCCTAAAACACCAACAAAAATTTTAATACCATTCAATCCGATTATATCAACAACCCAAATACTGTAGAGTCGGGTAGGAGCGACAGAGGGTTGCAGAGCTTCATTGCGAGTCGGGCAGGAGGGATGGAGAGTTGCAAAGCCCAATGCGAGTCGGGAGGGAGAGAGCGGAGCATGTTGAGAGAGGGAAGAGAGCGCGTCACTTTTCTCATACATGAGAGGGAGAGAGACCGTGAAGGAGAGAGAGAGAGAGAGAGAGAGAGAGAGAGAGAGTGAGAGAGAGAGGCACGCCTGCAACGAGTTTGAAATTTTTTTTGACAGTAGGCTCGTGATGACACGTGTCCACCGCTGAATGGACTAGTGCACGTCCTACACGGCATCACTATGGTATGCAATATTTTCTTGATACTTTGCATGAATTTATTACTAATCGTGGGACTCCCCAAAACTTTGTGGGCCCCCCCTTACATCAACAACCAACAAAAGTCGACTTCATAATCCTTACATTTTGGCCTAATGTATAATGCCGTTCCTGAACTTTTAGTCTATTCAATATGGTCCATAAATTTTTAATTTATTTAATGAAGTCTCCTAACTTTTGGTATATATTTAATTTAGTCCATAAATAATATTAAAATGTTCAAGGTAATCCTTTCACCATAAGTTCAAGTGCCACATTAAATAAACTAAAAGTTTAGAAATTACATTGAATAAATTAAAAATTTATGGACCATAATGTAGATTTTCCCCAAGCTTATGGACCACTCGTATAATTATCCCTAAAATTTATAAGACATTCCAAGTAGCTGTGCCAAATTTGAATTGCATTATTAACCTATATGTTAATAGATTCTAGAAAGTTATTCTAGCTTACAGTTATCTACGCTTTTATTTTGCTTCCAATGAAACACCTAATTGAGTCCCCTGATTCTTTTCCGATACTCTCAAGTCTTTTAACTGCGTGATTGAAGCAATCGAGTGCCATTATTTCTTGTCACTAATTGCCCTTTTTGTTTCATGTGGCGTGAAAGATAAAACGCGGAAGTGCTTAATAACACCAACGTGTTACGCTGCTTCAGGACACAGTCTAGAAAAGAAAATGTGAGATGCTCGTGGCTGATGTACTGTGTAAGGGGACCAATTGAGACAATTCAAGTACCTAACGAGCAAAAAACTAACGATGATCCAAATCAAAGATGGGGGTTCATTCTAATGACCTTTCTTTGTCCGGTAGGTATTGGGTACGTGAGTCGGTCCACAATACGTGAGCCGACCATGCACGGTGGAAGAATAGCTTGTTCATGTCGGCCGTCGGTGTTGTTTAGCGT